TATTTTTTATTTTTTTTTTGAAATGTATTGGCTACACAATTTAAACAATTTGAAATTGACTGATTTTTTTAATGCAAAGAAAGACTAACTTCTAATCCTTCCTTAATGCTTTTGTGCTGGAGTAGGCATTTCTAACCTTTTTAGTGCCTCGGGCCACTTTCACACGAGGAAGCTCAATGCGGGCCGCAAACTAAAATATATATATCTCAGTTCTGATTTACGTTAGAATTTGTGCGTCGCTGAATCAAACGCTTGGATTGCACAAAGCTATTGCAATTATCTGAACACAATATGGGCGCATGTTTACGCAGTGACTAAATTTCATCAGTTTTATTTAACGCAAAAAAAGCCAGTAGCAAAGATATTGTACGCAAAATAAAATGATCACAATTAATTAAATTTGGAAATTGAATTGCAAATTTATTCATATAATATTCATCGACCAATGATCACAAAAAAGCTTTCGAATTTGTTGAGCAAAACGCAAGGGAAGTATGTCGTATCTACAGTTATCCTATCCCCAAGATTTTTATGGTAACTTCGTTCTTAAGTATTTTTGGGCGTATTCTTTTTCTGTTTTATTGATGTTCTGGATTTCTGTTGCTAAAATATTGCATGATATCGTTTAACAAGCTTTTGAATCCCATAATGGCGCGGTTCGCGGTTCCCATTTACATTTTCGGTATTATATGCTATGTTTCTTGTGTTATGCTTTATTATTGAAGAGGTGAAGACGGATTTCCATGAAATATGGAGATAAAATAAGTTACACTTGTGCTTTCATTTAAAAGCTAATGAAAAACAGATCTTTGGTTTCTTCTGGCAATGCAAACAAACGAAGATGCTATTTTACGTAGATGTGCCATTCCGAAAAAAACACGGTAAGTTTTGACTTAATTAATAAACAGTCATCAAGAGTAGTTTATAGTGTTGAAAAGATAATAATAACATGGCTATACATTCAGTTACAAATACGAGTGTCTTCAATGAATATCAAAAACTGAATAAAAAATATATTATCCTTAGGTTTCTGTTTAAAAATGAAATTGATATTGAATATTATTCAATGTATTCCAAATATTTTTAAAAAGAAACTTAATTAAACCTAAACATTTGATGAAATGTGATGATTATGGTACAATATCTTGATAAAAACTATGTTACATACATTTAAAATATTTCTCAATGATTTTTTAATTCTAATATATGATAAAAAAAACTTACACTATGTGGGATGAATTCAATTATTATATTTAAAACTTATGAGTCTAATTGTGCCCTAAATAAATGTATTTTATTTTAGGTTTGTCCAAATCGGTTAATCACGACCTTGATTATTTTGAAAACACGGACTGATTTCGTCCTGCGAGATTTCTCGACCGTGGCGGAAAATTTATGAAATTAAATCACGTGATTCCGTTATCTTCTGGCCCTCGTCGTTGTCTTGAACAAATCGCAAATGTGCTAATTTTCTTGATAGTGTGAATTGTACAAAAGTTCAGAGTGGTGCCGGATCCTTCGAATCCACTCGCAACGTTTTATGAGCGTGGCAACAGTATAGTAACTCATGCGCCATCTAACTTCGAAATCTTGTTTGAAAAGAGATAAAAAACTTAATTTTTGATTTATAATATAATCCTTATTACTTTGTGACTCTTTTACGTAGGTTTTTTTGATATATTTGTTTGTATATGCACATGTGCTAATTCCGCTTGAATAAGCGGCGCTATATAAATACAAAAACCATCAAAATAAAACATGTATTAAATTGCAAACCGAGTGACGGTCAACTTCATCTAAACTGATCTATATGTTTGCTGATAATATAGGTGGGAGACGTTGTATATATCAACATTATATAAGGATGCCTTTTTTGAAAAATTATTTAAAACTGAAAATTTTGATTTAGAAGCCTGTTCAATCATTACGCAAAGACAGCGCGTGCGTCAGACAGTTCATATAGTTATGAGACTTTGGCAAAAGCTCAATTGATTGAAGTAGGATTGCAATGCTGTAACAAACTATTACCTGTTTCCCTAAATTTAGCTATTTATAATGCGGTTCAAATAAAGTTGAAAAGTATTTGGACTTTTGCCGATACCCAAACTGACAGTAGAGACTAGTTCAAACACTTCATTGATTGATAGGTTTCGTGAACTTGGCAACATTCATTCTGTATTAATCAATATAATAATCTGTCAATTTTGAACTCTCAAACTTCCGTCGCATTGTTTCGCGTGACAATTGTTTAAATATTTTTTATGTGAAGGTTGAAATGAAAAGCATATTATTGTGAAATCAATTTTTGACGTTTGATGAGTATTTGTAGAATTTGACTGCTTCAGAGCTGGTCATGAAATAGTTTGTGGATCCAATGAAACCGCAAAAAAAGGACCGAGCTGTCTAGCGAATTCAGAAAACTATAAGTTTGATGAGAAAATCTTTTTCATGTTTTTATTTAAAATTTAAATTGGATTTATATTGAAGGAGAGTTTTTAAATGAGATTGACTGACTACCAAGCTAATCGCGCCTTTTGATTTGTCGGGGAAGGATATTGCAGACAATATATCACTGCTTGTTAATTTGTAGCTACACATACATCGTTGAAAATCACCACTTGGTCTTTGCACTTTCGAATTTGTGAGAGTCATATCAGTGAATTAACCCATTTGTACACGTTTTTCGGACTCAGTTGTTCCCTTTTTTAAACGTGTGAAATCTAAAATTTAGAAAATTTATGACCGTACAGACAAGGCCACGATAATGCATAATTTGTTCCAATTTCCGAGATTTATACGGTTTTGAATTGACTTTTCCAATAATAGAATTATGTTTAATCGAACAGTGAATTATATATATTATAAGATATTATTAGAGTCCGCTTTGCCAAAATAGTTAACTACTGTTCCACCGACTGCGCCATCGCGCAAATATTTTTAGTTACTATCGTAGCACCCAAAAATCTACAAATTACTCTACGTAATACATCCATACAAAATATTAACTTCTTTATTTTCGCTAATTTCCTAAATAATATTATTCAGCATATTAGCTTTGCAGATGATAGGTATTAGTCAATGGTTCTCAACCTTTTTTCGTTTGTGGCCCACTTTTTGTTGCACAAATGTTGTGTGGCCCACTAAGTTTTTTATGCTAGAAAAGAAATTTCCGAATGGATTTTTATTCAACTGACTATTAGTGGGTTACTTGCTGCTGAACATTATCAAATAATACATTAATTTTTGGTGGGTTCCGAGCCTTTGTTTTGATTTGCACCGATGTAGAAAACCCTGCTTCCAGATAAAGTTTGAGTTTTTATGGTATCAATGAATGATGTCCAAGAACTTTATAGCATAACACCCACATGTCCTTTTACTTCACAGTTTTCAGGGAAAGATGTGAATCCATACTGAAAGTAATTTCTGGTGAACTTTCGTTTTGCCATTCCATCTGATGTCTGATTCCCATGTTTTAATATACGATACTATTGAAATTGCTATCCACCCTCTAGACTAGAGTCATCCTGCCGTAGAATGTGTTTGTTGAGTCACAATGCGTTTTAACGGCGAAGAATGTTTTGCAAATAGACATCTTGTTTTTACAAAATGCGTGAAGCTGATTGCGTAAACGAATCAATTTTTTCAATCAACAACCCTTGAGATTTCTAATTGGTCTGTGGCCCATCTCAAATTGTGTTCATGACTCACCAGGGGGCCATGGCCCACTGGTTGAGAACCAGTTTATTACTTATCGATCTTAAGATCGGTAAGTATGTTGATAGGTATTTGTCTGTTTTTTTTTTTTGTTTTTTTTGTTTTTGTTTTTTTGTTTGTTTGTTTTTTTGTTTGTTTGTTTGTTTGTTTGTTAGAAACTCGCGATATCCCACGAAAGCGAGGTTGAATCTGCTTCAAATTTTGCATGTGCATTCATGATATCTCGGATCAGGAGCCTATTGATTTTGAATGAATTATGTGGTATAATTAGCGAGTTATTAATTAATTAGTGATGAAGAGATCTGGATTTTTACAAAGCGAGAGATTTTCGAGACGCGCTGAATGTGTGTGTGCGTGTACGATGCGCAAGTTTTCACGCTAGTGAGTCAGAGCGAAGGATACACACCGCTATATCGTATCTCCTGATTAATCTTTAAGCATTGTCCATATCTCTCTTGTAACTTTGACGTCGTCGCGATGCGCAAGTTTCCTTCGAGAAATTTTCCACGCTATTGAGTCAGAGCGAAGGATACACGCCGCGAGATCGTACCTCGTTACTTATAATTACTCTTTAAGGTTTAAGCAATGTCCATATCCCTCTATCAGGTTCGGGGTTGCAGAATTCCTCACCAAAATATCGCTAGGCTGTGATTGAATAGCCGTCGCAACCCGGGTTAGCGCCGTTGTATTTGACACAAAATATAGGATTGGTAAATAGGCTATTGGCTGGAAACTAATCAAACAATCCAGTTCGGATTTGCAGAATTCTTCATAAAAGTATTTCCTCGGGTGGTATTTCGACGACGACATGGGGAGTTGGCTAATGTTTCCTACATTTTTTATATTGGCTGAAAACTATTCAAAACAATCCTATTCGGGTTTGCAGAATTTTTCGAATCGAAACCGCAGTTTCTGTTTTGGGGGATCCCCTAACTTTCGATCGATAAGACTTCGGTCTCTGACCGGTATTCTCGTTAGATTATTAGATGATATTTCCTGAGAGACAAGAGACCAAATTCTGTTATGCATTCACAGTCTCGAATATGCAATTAATTTATGCAGTTAATTTCACAATTTTATTTAAAAAGTTACTTTACTATTTTAAAATTATATTAGAAAATTTTATTTTAATCATTGAAAATACCCTAAAAATTTCAATATGCTCCTCTTGAACTTCCTCTGGAAGAATACATCCCATTCTTGTTGACTTTATCATTTTATTGATTTTATCTTTTCAATTGAAAATATTATTGATTTCTTTTCAGAAAAAAATAAATGAAACAAATATGTCCTGGGTATTAGGCCTCAATTTTGCAACTCTTACCATTGGAATGGCAACTATCTTATTATTATACTACATGCTGAAAAGACCCAAGAATTTTCCTCCGGGTCCTCATGGTCTGCCTATCATTGGATATGTTCCGTTTATGGGGAAAAATCCAGCGGTGCATTTGCAAAAAATATGGAGGAAATATGGATCTGTAATGTCTGTTCAATTTGGACGGGAATTTTGGGTTATTTTGAACGATTACCAAGTAATAAATCAGGTAGGATAAAGTTTGTAAGTAGATGTTATCAATGAAATCCATCAAAATGGAAATTAATGGCCTATTTCGTATCATTGTAGCAATGAGCTGACGAATCATTAATCAACATGGTAAATTGTATTTAATAAAAAATATTTTTTTTTAATCTGAAGAAACATGTAATCATCGCAAACTAGTTTTTTTCTATAAATGACAGCGTCAATATTTCTTTTGGCTTCTGTCAGGAGTACTCTATTTCAAATTATTCATGCAAATATTAGAAATTGATGTGCCTAGTCGCAGAATACCGTTCGAATGACAATAAAATGCATATTCAAATATTAGAATTGGGTGTACGATTATTCAGAATTCAGTATTCAGAGTATTCATTCAGGTCCCGTTTACAATTACTATGAGCATATAGGGATAGTTTGAATACTTTTTCATTTTTTGTTTTATATTTTCATGTTACATTTTTATTTGAATTATATGTTGTGTTTTTTTTCATTTGGGATATGTATCTATGTTGTATGAACCATTGGTATGCGAATTCGAATTCCAATAATTTTAATTATAAAGATTAGGTGGATAGAAGAATACATTCAGTTACATTTTGTCACACGAACTACTAATTATTTGTAGATATTTAACCTTTTCAATAATTCAAAACATTTGATTAACAGTCATATATCTGTGGCAATTGGACCACATTTTTTATTTAGGTATAACCATGTTACATTAGATGGCATATGTGATACATTGAATAATTTGGCATATAATATTCTGCTAAAATGTTATTGGGATAATATAAAACTAACATAAACAACATCATGAGGAATAACTTGAGATAAATATATATTTTACAGGCACTGGCAAAACAAGGTAAAAAGTTCTCTGGACGTCCTCAGAACTTTGTGTTTGATTTGATAACTGAGCAACGAGGTATCGGTTTTGCAGATTATGGACCAACATGGAAAGATTTTCATAAGTTTGGCCTGATGACGTTGAGAGGGTAATATCTTTAGATATTATTAAATCGCTTTTTTGGTTAGAAATGAACCAATTGATTTCAGTTTCAATTTTTAAGTACTTAATATTGATGTTATTGTATTTGGCAATTATCAATATTTATTTATTTTTTTTTCAATTTCTTCCCCATATTTCACTCAAATTGTTTTATTATAAATTCCAATTCATGAAAACACTTTCTTTATGGAGTGTGGCTGTGTTCGTTTTGAATTTGCTTTGATGTTGTTTTTGCAATATTGTCGTTAATTGTGATTAGTATTAAGTAGAGTTTATTTGCCAACCTCGCCCTATCGGCAGTAGGAATCAAAATTTTCGATTTTCAATGGTGATAAACAAAGTGAAATTTTACTACAGAAACTCAAAATAAATCAAATTTACTAAGCGTTTGTAACATTAAAGTAAGCATGCATTCGGCAAATCTTTTGGTATGATATGATATTTTGTTACCCAATTGAGTTCGGAGCTAGAGGATAACACACAGCATTATATAACTTTGTCTCGGGAGTCAGAGTGAAAACTTTTTTTGAATCAAGATATGTGAGTCAAAGTTGATTGTACATATTCTATGGTTCCACATCCCTGGAATAACATATACAACCATGCTTTTAGGAATTATATTTTTTCATAAGATATGGTGTAGGGAAGAAAGGAGTGGAAGAAAATATTATCGAAGAATCTCATTTGTTAATAGAAAATCTTACAATAAATAACTCCCAAGATTTGCAGGTACGAAACATCACCCATTTTAGAGATTTTGGTTTGGAGTGTTATATTCATATAAAGTCTGAATTTATATATGCTAGACTTTGTTTTTATACAATAAATACATTTTCTGATGGTATAGTTCGATTCACTTTGTTCTCAATTACCAACTGCCGGTTTCAACACGAGAATACATCGTCACAATGTGTAAAATCCAGATTGATGACTTCTGAAAATGAAAATAAGAAGAATGGGAATAATATAGTTATCGGAATATTTTTTTGTAACTTTTTTTGGAAAAGCTACGGAGCTATAAAGGGAGCAAATCAAAAGTTTGTGTACAATATTGCGGTAAAAGGGCAGTCTATTTGAAAACGTCAATATTTCCAAAAACCTTCAAGCGTTTCTACCACATATGGACAACTCGAACGTGGAATAATTTTTCAATCGCAAACAAAATATTATATAAAGAATAGTCAGCTTTTTCTAAAGCTCATTAGAATCAGAAAACTAACAGAACAAGGTTTTGATATTCATTATTTTCGATATCAATTAAGTTCTCTGCGATCAAAAACTATTTTAATAATAAGTGAATTGTTTTTGAACATTATCAATATTTTACCTTCTTATTCAAACAATTTCAGATGAAACTAACTCTTGCAATATCAAACAATATCAGCCGTGTTGTATTCGGTTCGAGGTTCGATTACGAGAACAGAAGACTTATTCATATGATTGAAATACTTCGCAAATTGAAAGTTCATATTTTTCCATAAATACCATTATCTAAGATTGTTTGATTCCCCAATCTTGTTTGAACAAATTTAGAAATCTAATTTTTTATTTATTTTTTTTTTTACAATCTACAGTTCTGAAGATTGCTATGAAGCGAATATGTTGGCTTTAATCACCCTAGCTCCTATGTTGAGGTTTATCCCTCCTTTCAGTGGTGTTGTCAAATTAATTTCATCGGAAAGAAAAATAATGATGGGTAAGGCATATTTATTTTTATTTCTATACTTTGGTATAAAATCAGTTGTCTATTATTGTAGTACTTAAATTTTCTTGGTTTAAAAACCATCAATGCGTATTTTTTCAGAAATATAATTCCAAATTATTAATTTCTTGAATTTGGGGAGGGCTTTATTTTATTTTTATGAGTTGGCATGATATTAAATTATTATACATAAAAATCAATTAATATTTCATTACTTGTTTATCAAGCAAATTTTTGAGGTACAAAGTTTTCAATTTTGGGAATATTAGACTTCATTTTGGGGATTTGCAATGTAAAAATTTTCTGTACAATTTTAAGTGCAAAGGTTTTTTGATTGACTACAAGTTAAAGCGAGCTGTGTTTTTAGTCTCGAAATAAAAATTTTCAAATTAATAAAATGACATGCAGTTGTTAGATTTGATAAGGGATACGACGTGCTAGTACTTTTATTGACGTTGTGTGCAAACAGCTAGAAGACTTTGCTAATATGGAAACATGTTTTACTGACGTAGAAATGTAGTATCAAAATCCTAATTGCCGAGCGTCACCACTCCGCTACACAGTATGGTCGGCAATTTTGACATAACCTTAAAATATAATTTAATGACAAAATATGATTGAGTTACGACGCACTGTTTAATTTTTCTGCAGGATATCTGCAAGATATCATCGAGGAACACGAATCAACTTTTGACGAACATCACCTGCGAGACTTTACTGATGCATTTCTTAAAGAAATAAAGAATGCCAATAATAAGAATTCTAGTTTTAACGTAAGATTGTAGTATAACTAACAATCATATTGACAAATCGTGTGCTATGTGGCCGTGGTTTGAGATTTTATCAAACCGTCTAAGCAGTTTCCACTTCCCACGGTAACAATATGCAAAATAACCGATTTTTAGCATTGTTAGAAATACTGTATTAATACATGTTATTCCATCGGTAATGTCCCGTTCGGGATTAACTTTAAATTCAGCATCACACTCCGATGTCATCGTCATCGTCTGACTGAAAACAAACTGAAAAACGTAATTTGCTAAATTTGAGGTGAGACGGTCGATTTATTGTCAACGTCGGTTGTGGGTAGAAGTCCCGAACTTAGGGTCGCACAACTAATCGTGCATCTGTCTATTCGAGTCTCAAGGTAAGACTATAACCAAGTCCTTCCCTGATAGAAGTCACATCGAGTCTTCCATAAATGGGAGGTCAAATCTCACTCAAGTTGAATCGAGACATCGAATCTCACCAGCATTTGTCGATGGTTGTTAGACATATTTAGTCCAACTAGATACAACTTTTCATTGAGGGTTTTCCTTCACATATGCTAAATTTGTAATCGTGAGGGTTAGTCGTATGAAATAGAGCCATCGCGATTAGAAATTGCAGCTCGTCCATTTCATACGAGATCTTTTTGAAGCTGGATCATCTACTTCTAGCAGCACTATGAGTTGGGCTTTTCTATGTTTTGCTCACTATGCAGAATTCCAAGAAAAAATAGCAGGGGAGATTTCAAAAACACTAGGTCAGGGAGATAATTCGTATGTGAAGCAATCACACTTTTATACAGTTATTTGATATAATGTAACTTATTTATATATATATATATATATAAAGCCGTTCCGAGCAATTCAAAAGTTTTTCTTTATTCATCCTAAATATTTCTTCAAAGAAGTTCAGAACCTTTTTTAGACTGAACGTTATAAAACAAATTTGTATAATTAAATCACCAAGAATAGGTATTTTTCGCCTTTGATACTTCATCCTAGAATAATAGGCATGCCATCGACAATGTTTAGATGAAGAATAAGTGTATATACACATGTATATACAATTAATAAATTAAATTAAAAAGTTTTTTCTGATTTCTGTTTGAAGGTATTTTGGCTGTATTTGGCTTTTTCGATAATGACTGAATAAATACTTGTTTCAAAAAAAAACTTGTCATGAAATCATTTTTGGAGACTTTTTCATCACTTATTACTAACACTGGAGAAGTTAAATAACTACAGAACAGCAGCAGCAATCTCAAACAACGAACTGTAGCTTTGTACGTGTTCGATAACTAAATAGTCAAATTTATTTGAAAATTCTTCCTAACTAAATTATTAATTTTAAATTTTTATTACTTGATAATGAATGAAGAGGCTCCCCTAATGTCCTTCGTCTTAATGTAGCCCTTTTTAAGAATTTTGATCATAGCTTAGAATATCTGGTATTAACTTGGTCGAGTAGAAAATTTAACGAACTATTGGTCACTATTTATCGCACAAACTTATGCTAGTGGTTGATGTTCATTTATATCGAGGTAGTTGCATAATATATTTATTATTTTTTGATTATTTAAACAGGCGAAAACGGAATTCCATTAATGAAACATCGAGATGAGTTGCCGTTTACTTGTGCTTTCATACAAGAACTGATGAGACATAGAACTCTGGTACCTTTAGGTGTATTCCATAAAACGAACGAAGACGCAATTTTACATGGATATACTATCCCAAAAAATACAACTGTAAGTTTAAATTAACACCTCTGTTCTTGGTGTCGTAAGAGACTTGCTAATGATTGAATCCGTCAATTCGCTGTCACGTAGTTGTTTTCATGATGGTATTTAACTGAACTGCATCAAGTCTTGCGCCATTTGATATTTGTTAAAAAACGTAAATTATTAAAACGTCAATTGATTTTTCTCAATTTAGCTATGTGATAAAAGTATTTGACAATGTTTCAATACTATTGTAGACTTATTTTCTGGAGATCGGTTAAATCAATTGAATTTTTTACTTTTTTCTCAGACATTAACTGAATCCTCCAAATTGTAACCACTAGTTTACTTTTTTCTCTTTTTATGATAATTCGTTTATACACTGTTAAGCGAAGTCACTGAGACATACTGTGATACTTTACATGAACCACTGAAGTGAAAAACGCTATTCAGACTGAATTATAGCCTCAGATTACGCGTCAACTGTGCCATAATTAAATATACCCTATTTCAGATTTGCCCGAACTTATGGGCAGTTCATCACGACTCACAGCATTTCGAAAACCCGGAAGAGTTTCGACCTGAGAGATTCCTCGACCGTGACGGAAAGTTCATCCAATCAAATTACGTGATCCCCTTTTCTGTCGGCCCTCGTCGCTGCATTGGAGAACAGCTAGCAAGAATGCAAATTTTCTTGTTGATAGCAGGAATTGTACAGAAGTTGAGAATTGTGCCGGATCCTGACAATCCCCTACCATCTTTTTGTGATGGTGGGAGCAGTATGTTGATTTATGAGCCACCTAACTTTGAGGTTCTTTTTGAAAAAAGATAAACAACTTTATTTTTGGTCATAAATTAACCCGTAGGTATCCTCATAAGTATGACTTGATAAATTTGACTCTTTCATCTATAAATTAATCGTTTTGATGTATTCTCCTGTATATGTACATGTGTCAACCCCTTTTTTAATTTTGAAACTAGTGACGACCATCTCAATGTAAATTTTGATCTAAACTGATCAAAATATCAGTGGGCGGTGCATATATCAACATACAGCTGTTTTTTTGAAGAAACTGAAATGAAATTTTTGATTCAACAGACTGCTCTAATTATTACTCAAACTGATGTAAAGATGGGAGTTTAAATTTGACGTGAAGTGCTTCCGTTAAATAATTTATGTAGCAGTATACACTTTTAGAAACAGAGGGAAAAATGGATTAAATTCCGTATTTCATATTGATGAGAGGCGCAAAAAATAATTATTGTGCCGGGACACTCATTATTAACCCTAATAGTAATTAATATAAAGTAAAAGAAATAATTGTAATAAAATTGAAAAATAAAATATGTTGAGGCGTATTTTAATGTTTGCAGGCCACTCATGTCATGAAAAAATGCGGAAATGAAAGTTTAAAAATTATCAATCTTATGAATGGCATTTCCAGGGACTGGAATCGATTAACACTGCAAAGATTTTAAGGTCAGTTTGTTGTCACCTATCCAAGGTCGATGCCACTAGACGTATTACGCAATTTAACATATTACACTAACAATAAACGTGTGTTAAAAGTAATAGAATGTAATATAATGTATAAATAAAGTATTTTTTAATTTTTTGCTTGATGCTTATAAGACAAAAGACTAAAGAATGGTATTGGTATGAATCTGTTTAATGCGACGCTCATTCAGATCCAAATTTATCCAATTTTTCGGATTTTCCTATTTTTATGCGGCGCTTTGGCCTAGCGGTTAAATCGGTTGAAGCATCGCAAATCAAGTTACGTGCTGCCGGACCGGAAAGATTATAATTCTTCCAAATAATAGTAGCTTCCGACATATCGTTCGGTATAGTTTGATCCCAACTCACTCCGGCTGGGTTTTGACCTCAACGGAAGTATCAAGTCTTTAGATAAGCTCAAGTACAAACATGTTTTATTTTCTATAATTTTGAAAAATGTTTCCAATTATGAAGAAAAAAATTATAAAAATATTATACCAGTAATTAAAGTTTTTCAAAAAGGGTACCAAAGTCAGGAGCCCCGTAAGTTAATATGTTAAATCCACCAACGTCGAAAGGAGGTTTGTCAGGGTCATTCATAACTGTAAGTTTATGTCCATCTGTTCCCCCAGGCAGTGTCGAGGTCCAATGCAGGTCCAACGAGATCACGTGATTTGATTTTATGAATTTTCCATCACGGTCGAGAAACCTCTGAGGTCGAAATTCTCTCGGATTTTCAAAAATATTTGGATCGAAATGAGCAGACCTAAAGTAAATAAAATGCACATACTGCATAACACTGAATACAAACAAACATGACTATTCATATATATGCTCGTATTTCTTCCCGTATGAGCGGAAAGCAACTAACGACTAGAACGAGGTTTAAACTTGTTACATGAAATTAATAATTTCCTGGTTAAAATCGACATGGGTTTAAAATATTGAAATACATTTCAACATAAAGCTTTTGATTTACTATTCTCAATTTAGCAACTGACATATATATAGTCATACAGAAGGGATAAATCTGCATATATATAACTGCTAGCGCGTCAATTGTTTTTAAACGACGTTTATTCCCACATTCGTCTTGTACAATCGGCCACTGCCATAGCAGGACCTACTATAGTTTGTAAAGATGGACTCTTTCCAGTTTTACATTGCTTACCCAATTTATTACATGTTTCACTTTAACTTCAAGAGTTTGTATTGATGTTTTGAGCAAACTTCGCAATAATTCTGTCACACTTACCGTGGTATTGTATTCATTCAGTGTCGCTTCCTCGTTTGTTTGATGAAAATCAATTTAGCGGGAGTAGAGTGCTATGTCTCATTAGTTCTTGTATTAAGGAACAAGTGTAAGGCCTTTCATCTCGATGTTTCATTGACGGTATTCCATATTCACCTGTTAAATAAAAGGTGAATTTCCCTTATTTATATGTATATGGAGAGAGAATGATTTATAAGACTCTTTCTCTGGATACATGGTCACGCTTAGGTAGACATCTACAATATTATTTGATGGTATAAATAGCTACTATATTTCGGCAATACCGGAATATGTGCTGCGAGGCATTGCATACCCAGGTAATTAAACCCCTGGTGAAGAGATGGGAAACCGGCGTTCTGAACACTATAAAATAAATTAATACGGGCCATCCATAGTGCAACTAACAGATGGCTCTCATTCAAACAATAGCGCGTCTCGTGTTTGGCAACATTCAGCACTGATCAATAGAATACTCTGTCATATCAAATTTGAACTCTCGTCGCTTTGTTGAGCGGTTGAAAGTCAGAGATATTGTAAGCTTTATAGATTAACAAAATCCATGTTCGACTATTAAAGAGTATTCAGAAAAGATTTTTTTGGCTTTGGATGTTTCCGATTTAATCAGAGAAAAGTTTAATGCTGCCGTAGTAATGCAAAAAAAATAACCTGTGCAGAGATTTGATAGAATTATAAAACAATAATGATTAAATGTTTTTTTATTTTTTGGGTGAAAATTGTGGTGGATTATATAGATGAATAGTAGAGGTTATATTTTATTTTTCCTCTTATCTCCTGTGGAATATAGGTTCATTAGCTCCACTAACAAGCTAATCGTATAGTTTCATTTCTCGGGGAGGATTATCGCAGACTATATACATTGCTGCTAGTTCAAATGCCCAGATGTCCATCGCCTAACGTTCTTTCAGTTGATAAGTAGCCTACAGATCGTTAAAAACCAATCATTTGATTTAGAAATCTGCAAATCACTCTATTTTGTATTAATATATATACATTTCTTAGCTCCTTACTTTTGTCAATTACATAAATAACAAAATCATTGCTTATTTTCTTTACAGGTGATAGATATTCGATTCTAAAATTGTTCCTAAAAGGCAGAGGACCTTACGATGTTGTGGGTTCAAAATCTGGAATATGTAATTTATATCATTGGAATTTCCACATTTTTGTTATGCTATTACTTGTGGAAGAAACCTAAAAACTTCCCTCCAGGTCCTCGCGGTCTGCCTTTAGTAGGATATATTCCATTCTTGAAAACCAACGCTGCGGAATCCTTGCTGCAATTGAAAGAAAAATATGGATCGGTAATGTCTGTGCAAATTGGACGTGAATATTGGGTCATTTTAAACGATTACGACGCCATTATTGAGGTGAGACAACCCTGTTGTATTATAGTGCTGCTCAATAAAATTGTATTCAAATACGTCATAACATTCACAGAGTCACCAGAAGTTGTTGTTGTTATCAACAATATACTTCAAAACTTTTTTGGTTTCTATAGAATTGTTTTCCACTATCATTGAAATCATATAATCACTATTGTCTATTTGTCTGCAAAGGCACTGGTGAAACAAGGAGAAAAGTTTTCTGGACGACCTGGAAATTTTGTATTCGAACTGATTAAAAACAATCATGGAATTATTACGATAGACTACGGACTTACTTGGAAAGCTTCACATAAGTTTGGCTTGAGGACATTACGAGGGTAAGAACACTATGTCAGTGGTTCCCAGCGTTTTTGTTAAATTTTTCCCTTTGCCTAATTAGCAACTCTCCATTCCTCTCTCAAAATGCAATAAAACTTCTTTATTTGTTCAATATTCAATGGATCCTTTGCTAGTGTTTTGCACAAGTCGCATTGCCATTATTTTACAGTTTAAATATGTTCATGTTCATGAATATTACAGTTACAACAAAAAACTTGGGAATATGAGTAGTGCTATAGCGAATACAATGCAAAAACAGAAAAAGGAACAAAATCTTCCCCGTTTGGGAAATGTTACATTATGCGAACGTGTTTAACTTCAGAGTAAATATATTATTGGCAAAGAGAACAAACTTTTGCAATAGAGGAAATTCATATGTTTGCAATTGCTATTTGATCGGCTTTTGAATAGCGAGGGCATATGGATTTTTATACAAACATCGAGTGAAGAAAATATACATGACATAAAATTGAAATCAATTAAAATTAGAATAGAATACAGTTGAAGAATTGAAATTTTTTGCTGTACGTATACGTAGAGAGGCGATGCACCAACCACCGAACAGATTTTACAATTAAAACCAACGTGCATTGTACACCACGCTTCCATTGCTTCCAAAAAATAATTCTAACCATTGTCATTAGATTTGGCGCAGGCAAGGAAGGAATGGAAGAAAATGTTGTTGAAGAAACTTATTTCTTGATTGAAAATTTAACAATGGCAAATGATTATAGTATACAAGTGATATTATTCTTTTTCAGGCCAATCTGGTATATTTCCGTCTATTCTCAATAAACCCATACAATTCTTTCTCATTGTGTTAATTTCTGTACTACTAATACGTTTTTGTTAATTAAAAAGTTTGCACGTGTGGGTGTATCATTGCTTAAATTCACAGATGTGTAAAAATATAACGTGTTTTAATTCTCAGACAGAATACAATAGATATAAATTCTATGATTCATGTAACTATCACCTTTGTGTTATTAAATATTTTTTTAAGCGATTTATTTGAGCTTTATATCAAACTTTATGTTTATACGATACACGATCTGCTTTCACATGAGTGTTTACCATCTTTTTTTTGCATGGAAATTGTTTGGCTGTGGGCACATATATTCAAATGTAAGATTTTTATAAATGGGTTTTCACATGAAATATTCCGGCATTCCATAATTGCCAAATTCTTCATACAGTCTTCATTACAAGATTCTTTAGGCTTTAACAAAATCAGAAGATAGATATGTCCAATATAGGCTTGAACTGATTTTAATACAATCCTACTTGTATAATCCTATAATTAAACTGACTATATTTTTAGATGAAACTTACTTTTACAACGTTAAATATTATATCTCGATTAGTGCTGGGCTCGAGATTTGAATACGACGATAAAAAATTGCTTCATATGATCGAAATTATTCAGAAATTGTAAGTTTTTGTAGTTTCAAAATCAATATATTCTAGTCAAAATCAATTACATTGTGTTTATCTTAGTGATATTTTTGTGCTTTTTGTGTATTAATAAAGAGGTCTTACATTTGATTCTGCATGTATCGATGACACAAATTTAGCCGAATTAGCCGTGTTTTACTGTTACGTCTTTCGTATTAAAAATCATTTTGAGTTTTGACAACATTCTTGAATTTTGGTTTTATTTGTCACGTGTGTTTTATTATTATTGAATCATGACAAATAAATTTCCTACCTATTGATTATATAGCAAAATCAGAGTATAGATGGTACAAAGTATAATTATAAAAATCATGGGCAAGAAATGATTTATTCAACTTCAATATAAACAATGAACTAAAATGGACTACAGTTTGTTTCAGATTTCGATTTTTATTTGTAAATTCAAAAAATTACTAATTTGTTGATAAGAAACTTTACAAATATTAAGATGTTTTCATTCACATGGAGCTCCAGAAAAAATTGTTCTTACGTGTATTATATATACATTTCGAACATTTTGTTATATGCCTCAAATGTTAAATCGACCAATCATAGCGGATAAAGCTCTTTGCCAAAATTGAAGACATCCTTATTTTTTCATCTAATAAAAGATTTCTTCGGAAAGTCCCAAACTTGATATTGAAACACAAATGGTACAAATTTTTATTAGCAAATTTTTTTGACTTGTTTTTTTTCAATTTTTCAGTAACGAAGATTCAAATCATGCTCATTTGTTGGCGGTATTAACATTGGAACCAATATTGAGATTTTTTCCTCCGTTCAGAAATGTTGTGAAAATCACCTCCGACGATACAGAGAGATTTCGTGGTGCTATATAAATTTTCCTTTTTTCCCATTTTTCAAAAAATCACATATGAGGTAAAACAGTACTCCCGGCATTTTTGTTGAATCCACCCCCCTCTCCAGTTTATTCCTCTGCCCCTATATAAGTGACACAACTTTATTTGTTCAATCCCTAATAAATGCTTTGATAGTGTTACTCTCGCTATTATTATTTTAAGCCATACAGTGATTAATATAATGAAGACGACATAAAATCCAGCAATTTTGTGAATTGCATTTCAATGCACTGCAACCGAATAACACTGCTAACATTCAACATGTCAGTTTGTTGTACTTTATCTAAGGTCTATGTCACTAGACACGTTACGCAATATCAATTTTCTTTAAATTATAAAACGTGCTCTCGATTGAGTTTTTGCGGAATTAACTACGAAAGACTGACATTGGTCAGATGAAACGTCAAAGAAATAAAAACTCTTGGATTACTAATGATAAATGTGAAATGTAAATATTTCAGTATTGTTGTTTTCTATTTGAGGCTGAGTTAAACTCTTAGTATTTGAGTGTAATATAATCTATTTTGAGTAGAATAATTTACAAAGTTTTTCGTGACTTTTATTGGACAAAGTACTAAGAATATACACCAAACTCATAAGATTTCAACAGGAATGTTTATCCGAGATATTAGGGTGACGCTTTAAACAAAAGCGCAAAAAAAATCATGAAACTGGTTCATCGGCCTATTACCACCCAAAAGAACTTGGGTCAAAAGTCCGCCCGCCGCCTAAATTCGGCAAAAGAAGTGCGTTAATACAATAATGGAGAATATACTTAGATCGGTGGCAACCGAATCAAGGCCTGACTATATGAGACACCTTAGGGTCTGGACACTGCTAATTAAGGCCCTTCTGTAACAATGACGTCAAGAGTAATTTGCTATGCCGTCATAACAGATATTTCAAATTTATGTATTATAGCATCACAAAAGTATTTTTTAAATTGGTTGAATTACACAATTTTACCTACAGACAAGATACATACATACAAAACTTTGTTAAGAGTAATTTGTTATGCCTTCATAATAAGTATTTCAAATTTATGTATTATAGCATCACAAAAGTACCTTTTAAATTGGTTGAATTACACAATTTTAGCTACAGACAAGATACATACATACAAAACTTCATGGCTTCAGAAATCCCGAAATCAAAATACTCGTTTGTAGTGAGATAGTAAAATTATATATACTAATGCATACATTCTTTGTTGCTAAGATGAATTAGTATATATAGCTATATATCGATACTATCGATACTACAAAATAAAAATCATATTACGGTAAAACAGTTAATTTAATTTTAATTAGCATACTTTGTTTTTAAGATTTACGTGGTAGAGTTTTTCACAAAGGTATAAAGTGTAGGCATCGTATAAAAATATGGTAGCTATCCTAATTCAATATGTTTTTAATTTTACAGAATATTTACGCGGATTTGTGGAAGAACACGAATCAAACTTTGATGAACATAACATCCGGGACTTCGTTGACGCATTTCTTCTTAAAATAAAAAAGAGTCCAGAAGATGATCCAGCTTTTAATGTTAGTTGTTTCTTAGCATTATATCATATTTTTAGGGGAGTCAATTTTAGGTTTTGAGAACAGAAAATAAACAAAAGTAATAGCCGTCAAGCGACAATAGCAATTTATGAGGCACTAAAAATTTCAATTTTCCCAATAATTGAATAGAAAAACGATTTTTTTACCACAACAACAAACACAGAGCATAAATTTAGCAAAATGATTTCATTTTGTTTCTGAAAAGCAAAGACGATCTTACTAACTATTGAATCGTAACACCGGTTTTAGACTTATCATTTTTAGAAACTACAATTAATTCAATATATCCTGGATCTTTTCGATGCTGGATCACTAACAACCAGCAGTACTTTATCTTGGGCAATACTTGCGCTTGCTCATTTTCAAGAATGTCAAGATAGAATTGCTGAAGAAATTATCGAAACATTGGGTGAGGACTTATAATTGCGAGAATAAATATTTTTTGCATTAATGTAAAACAATTTGGATTTAAAAAAAATGAATAGACAAAACCGTAGAGAATTTATTTTCCAGAGAATAATTTTTAACTCGCATGATGGTTTTTGCTTTTTAATTAGTGTAGTTTTAGTAATAATCATTAGTTCTTTATTACTTTCATAATAATTTTTCATGCACATATTATAATTTACGCAAAATGTACAAAAGCAGAAATGTTACATTCGTATTATTAGCTCCATTAACGATTGGTTAAATAAAGCATGCATGGTGCATAGTGCATCGTGAGATAGGAATAAAGAGTTTAGAATAGGCGAAGGCAGGAATTTAACGAAATATATTAGGAACTACTGTTCTGGAGATGACTGGAAATAAATTCACGTGGAAGAATGTTTATTGTTCAAAAGTGTTTTTCTTCTGTGTTTGCACAATTTTTATTTTTTTCAAATATCGTGAATTATTGAAATTTTGCGTTGTTTTATACTAAAGGTTTCCAAGTATTTTTGTAAATCTTCAGACAAAAATTGCAAATATGGATATTCACAGTATATTTCCTTTCATTACGTTCTGTCGATAGGGATGAACAACGAATGCTGATTATATCGGTCTCCGAAAATTACAATATTATTTTAATCTTATTTTAGGAGAAGATGGAGTACCTAGTATGAATCATCGAGAGGAAATGCCTTACACTTGCGCTTTTATAGAAGAAATAATGAGGCACAGAACATTGGTGCCACTGAGTGTATTCCATAAAACGAACGAAGAGGCAATTTTATATGGATATTCTATCCCGAAAAATACTACGGTAGGCTACGGTAATTTGAAATGAATAGAGTGATAGATTTTTATAATGCCTTTCTCGCATTTACACCGAGCATAAAATCTATGAATAGTTACTAGTAGCAATAGCTGGACATAAAATGAGTATAATAATTATGACCTATTTGTTAATTGTGCGTTCGAGCGTTAAATAAATATTTATGATTCTTTAGGTTTGTCCAAATATTTGGGCTGTTCATTTTGACCCAGAACATTTTGAAAACCCAGAAGAATTTCGACCAGGAAGATTTCTCGACGGTGACGGAAAATTCATCAAATCAAATCGCGTGATCCCGTTTTCAGTCGGCCAAAGAGGTTGCCTAGGACAACAGCTGGCCAAAATGGAAATATTCATTATCCTAATAGGATTACTGCAGAAGTTGAGAGTTGGTCCTGACCCTGAAAAGCCGCTTCCATCTTTCTATATCGGCGGGAATTGTATAGCAACATATGAGCCTCCACAATTTGAAGTCGTTTTTAAACGACGTTAACTTACCTTTCGGAAGTTCCACTGGTTAAGGTTTAAGCTTACTTTGTTAGCTTATAATTATCTTTTGCGCTTTAAATTGCAAACCGAATCACAGTTTCGTATACCAAACTATAAATACTTTTGGTAATCAAGTGAAATAGACAACACTTGTCGCAAACTATTTCGGCAATTCAAGCCATACAAAACCTCAATACATGATTCGGAAAAGTACAGCAGGGAAAATCTTACTTTGTACCAAGTATGCGAAACTCAATATAGGGTTTTAGGCTTGTATTGGCATAATCCCGTGATTTACTCATAAGAGCAAAAACAGCGGAACACGCTATTTTACTCAAATCTACTGGCCAAAGATAGAAAGGCTAGCAGTACCTAGTAGGTGATTAGGCGATCCCAAGGGGAATTCCAAAAAAAAAATATCTTGATGTGTTTTTAAAGTTCAATTTAATCAAGTGTAAACATTAGTAACAAGTTTAGACTTCTCCATATTTTTTTGAAAGTAACTTGGACGTCGATCTTTTATTGTTGATTGTTCATTAGGATTTTAGATTGAGTTTTTCTAGTTTTTAACTGGAGAAAATCACCTGTAGTTATAATGTAATGGAAAGTTCAAAAATCTCAAACTCATTTTCCCCATTTTGCTGTAGGATATAGAGATTGCAATGCATGAAAAAGAAGAACATGGCATGTGACATTGATATTATACGCGTTAAAAACTCGATAGGAAAATATATTTCCGATATAATCATTTTTATATATCCAATTATAATTAATTATAATACTAATTTAATTCAATCATTTTATAATTTCGAAACATCAATATTAGTCTGGCTTCTAACTTTAGGATTGAAATTTAATTGCACCGTTATATGTTTCGGTATAGACCTACAGACGAAATAAATTTTAAAAATACCAAAAATATTATATAAAATAATATATTTTATTATATATAATATTTATTATATATAATATTATTAATTTATATATATATATAATGGAAAATATTTATGATAAGCTAATACTCGCTAGGTAGGATTTAATGAATTCAATAATTTAATGCGCCGTATTACGCATAACAATCTATATACAAAAAATACCGATTTGCATATTATGTGACAATCGAAAGGGAGATACTGACAGTTCGTCGCAAATACAAATTTAGGATATGATCAATCATCAACGGAAACATAATTATAATATTGATAAGACTCGATAAGACTTGATGATATTTCTTATATATTTTTTCATAAGGTTGCTCTGCGACATATATGCGATTTCGAATTCTTTATCTTATAATGACGTCATTTTGTTTTAGTAAAATCACTTTTTCTTAAATTTCCCTGAAGCTCATATTTATTCTATCTTGTTACAAATATTTTTTAAAGCATATTTCAAACCACGACTTATTTTTGACTTTTCTCAATATTTCACTTTTTCTATTTCCGACGGAGCCTAAAACATCTATTAAGTATTCTTACTAAAGCTCAATACAAAATTGGCGATTAAAAATAAACTTCAATTAGAAATGAAATTGCATTTAGTGAATGTATTCAAGAAAAATTGCTTAAAATTTATTTAATTAAAAAATATTTGCCAATTCCTTGTATGTATATTGAACTCTATCAGGTTTTAGATTGAATTAATAGTTTGTTAATTGATGATATGTAATTATAATAAATTATACTAAATGTAATAAAATATGTTTAAAACTGTGTCGGCATCATCCTATAAACTGATCTATATAGAGATATGGGATATTTTTGATAGTCGTTGCTTTAAATCATCATTAAATAAGCAAGCCTTTTAGACTCAACAGACTGCTATAGTTATTATTCCAAGAGGTACATAGGCATAAATTTGAATTCATTTATCTTTGTACTGATTCGCGCCCGTCACACAGTTCTTATAGAAACGAGACATTTGCAAAAGTGTATTTGACTAATGTTTGGTTTGCAAAGGTATAGAAAGCAAACAATGCTGCGTTGTATTTAACTATTTATAGTACGGCGCAAGTAAAGTTGAAAAGTATTTGGATCTCTGCCAATACTCAACTTAATTAACAGGAGCCGCTTCTTCAAACATTTCCTTGACTGATAGTTTCGTTGCTGGGAACTACAACTTTGTAATCAGCATAATACTCTGTCAATATTAAATTGGAACTTTCGTCGCATTGTTGCGCGTAACAATTGTTTAAAGAAAACTAGGTGACGGTTAACATGAAAAGTATGATATAGTGAATTCAATTTTTGACGCTCAGTGTGTATTCCAATAATTCGACAGCTTTAAAACTGGCCAAGAAATATTTTGTGGCAGCAGTAGTACTGCAAAAAAGAAACGAGCTGTGACGAGAAATGAATGTAATGGTTCTATTTATAGGCGTATTATTACCTCATAAATTGCGCCATAATCATTCAGAATCACCCAATTATCACTGCATATATGCACAGATATAACGTAGTCATATTTTCTCTTCATTTTCATAAAATCACCAGCCATGTTGTTGTTTGAAAACGGAGCGTAACCAACTAAAGGAAGTCAGTATGTACATGGAGGAATATCTTTCGGGCTCTTGAAAATATACCAGCAACACCAAGCAAAAGCAACTAAAGCAAAAATAGCCGTTGTATAATCGCAGCAAATCATCCAAACCATATTTTATTTCTCAAAAGTAAACACAAAATAAATTATTTTGGTGGTAATAAAGCTACTGTCAACTCTTGCAATACGTAATATTACTCAGTCATTTTAATTTGACTAATATTATTTTAGTGACGTGTTCTAAGATAGCGATATATAGATTACCTTTCTTAGATATGAAATTTTGATGGGTATAGCGCAAAATTTGATTTGGTATATGTATTTGTTTGAAAACAGAAATTTCTAGTGTTTCCAAAGATACGGAGGGATGTATTTTGTTTTCATTCAGCAGAAATTCTATGGAAGGCGTCTGTCGGGTGGTTTGAAGTATAACCAATGATTTAGTAGTTAAATATAGCGTTACGATAGCTTTAAGATATTTTTATGACACATAAATTTAAACCAAATATTAGTTAATGTATTCTATTTCTTCTATTTAGCATAGAATAAATGGACGACGGCAATATGCATACTCTATTCTTTCGCGAACCAAATCTTTAAAGTTGAAAGTTTGCTCTCTTATAACAATTTACTTTTAACTAGTTTTTTTAATTGACCATATCCGTTTCTCGGGCTGGATTTCAACCTGTGATTCCTCAACGGAAGTATTAGGTGTTTTTATAAGCTCAAGTACACACATGGTATAATTATTATAATTTTACAAAATGTTTGCAAATATGTAGAAAAATAATTATAAAAACACTTTGCCAGTAATCAACGTTTTTCAAAAAGGACATCAAAGCCAGGGGACTCTTAATTTAATATGTTGAATCCACTGACGTCGAAATGAGGGACGGGTTTGTCTGGGTCAGGTACAACTCTCAGTTTCTGTACAGTTCCTGTGAAAAAAATAAAAACTTCCATCTTCGTCCAGGCAGTGTCGAGGTCCGACAGTGAACGGGATCACGTGATTTGATTTATAGAATTTTTCGTCAAGGTCGAGAAATCTCTTGGATTTTAAAAAGGATTTGGATCGAAGTGAACAAATCAGATGTTTGGCCAGATTTAGAAGTAAATAAAATATTCATACTACATAATACTGAATACAAAACGACCGTGCCTGTTCATATTAGTGCTTGTATTTCTTCCTGTATGAGCGGAAAGTTATTAACGGCTATAATGCGATTCAAACTTGTTACATGATATGTAATAATTTCCTGGTTTATATCGACATGGGCTTCAGATATTGAATTACATGCCAACATATCACTTTTGATTTACTACCCTCAATTTCGCAATTGACATATAGTCGAAAGGATAAATCTACATATAACTGTAAGCGCGTCAATAGATTTTAAACAACGTTCATTCACGTTTCACCTTAAGTACAATCAATTACTACTATAGCGAACTTGCCCAAGTTTTCATTGTCCACTCGATTTATTAAACTTTAACCCAAAGCGTTTGTAACGTTGTTTTGAGCAAACTTCGAAAAATTCTGCAACACTTACTCGTTTTAAACAATCAAGGAAACAATTCAAAACCAGAATAATTTGAAAATTTACAACTTAAAGTATTATATAACAAATAAAAAAATAGACGAGCTCACTCATTTAAGTTTTGCGTTTGAGTATAGCGGAATATTGTGCATAACTTCATTTAAAAGCTATGCAAAGGACGGTTATAAATTGAACGACGTTTTATATAAAGATACAGGTCCTATATAATTACGGTTTAGTGTATTTGCTATTGACCTTGTATGGAGTCTTAAATGCTAAACAGAAAAAGTGAATAAATATAAAATATATTTGCATTGGCTTGATACACCACTAAATGTCTTAACCATGTCATCATTCATATTTATCACGAGATAAAAGCCAATACGTACGGGCTTAATGGCAACACATCTCGTACAGTTACGCTATTCCTATCGAGTATGCAATCGGGAATTAGCTATGGTTGATCGAAACGCCCGAAACTTGCTATGGCCCTATATCATCTCTACACCATGCTCAGTTGTACAAATGTCTATGTTTAAAGTAAGAAAGAGATTAGTGTAAACGATTTACTTAGCCAAGAGCGAAAGATTTGTATATTTAACATCAAGTCAAAATACTGAAACTAAAATCTTCCCCCCAATTCTTATTGGATCCCCTTAAACTCGGCTATTTCCTTTACGGTATTGAAATATTTCTCTTGTCAGAACTCAGGTTACTTTCAAGTTGTTGTCCTCCGCTATTTACTGTAATTTTGTTTTGCGCAATACCCAATATATAGTTCTTATTAGCATAAGTTACTTGAAACTATACATCACTGCTCTTTACGTTTAAGTCCATTGCTCGCGTTCTTACTTTTTAGATTTGAATAAATGTTTACACTTACGTTGAAGCATGGATCCTTCTTGGATTTCATCTCTTTGAGGAAAGCGTCAATGAAATCTCGAGTATTATTTCCTCCAATTCTGATTCGTGTTCCTCAATGATAAAGCGCGAAATTTTCGATATTTACATGGCTAACAAACACAGTACCCGGTCTCGTAATAGAATTAAATCAGGTAAATCTGCATGAAATTATTGTCTAACCTCATAACATCCAATAGTATATGTTTCAATAACCGTAAATGCTCCAACAGGATAAACTCAAATGTTAATTTTTCCCCTATTATGGCCAAAAGACCAATTGTTCTATAGTTCATATTCCACTAAACCATTTTGTAAATAAATTCTGAAAATTATCTGCTGATACATTTGCTAATCTTCTCGTTTTTACGATGCTTACTTATAGTCGCTGCAAAATTTTTACTGCGGCAATTTGTTCAACAACCTGGCGTAAAAAACTGAAGATCTGTTCTATGAAGTGTTTTCACGTCGAAAGGAAAAGATTTCAACATATAAAATAATGCCAACTTCTTACATATTAGTCTTATCATCCAAGTGAAACGCGCTGTGGTCATCGCTTAATACACAAGGCTACGAGTACCAAAGCTATTCCATCTGGAAGAAATATAAATCATTCCTGTTTTGCATTGCTTGCCCATTTTATTAAACCATGAAATGAAATGCTATGTTTTGATTGTTATTTTAATGAGTATTTGATTGATTTTAAACTAGGAAATATGACTTGCACTTGATCACAAACACAATCAACCAATCAATATGCCGCACAATATTTCAACTGTTTTTCCAAATTTCTTTTGAGAAATAAATTCATAATTAGGTCATGCTATTTTTATGCTATTTCTTTCACATATAAGTAATTGAATTTTTTTGTTTTATATCAAATAATAACTTCATCGTCGTTCAAAAACAACATCGAAGTGAGGTGGCTCGTATGTGCCCATACAAAATGCACCGTTATAGAATGAAGGAAGGGGCTTGACAGGATCTGGCAACACTTTTAACTTTTGTATAATTCCCGTCAGAAATACGAATAGCTTCATTCTTGCAAGTTGTTCTCCCATGCAATGTCGAAGGCCGATCGAAAATGGAATCACGTGATTTGATCTGCAAAATTTTTCGTCACTGTCGAGAAATCTCTCAGGTCGAAACTCTCTCGGATTTTCAAAATATTTGGTGTCGTAATGAACTGCCCAGATGTTTGGAACAATCTGCAACAGAGTATAATATTAATATGAAATAGGTATCTATTTTGCTTATCTTGCTTAATTGTGAGGGCGAGGGACTGACCGAAGTGTTTATTATTGTATTGTATTACCTAAGTTGACGTACGATTCTACCCGCTCAAAGTGTTTCCAATTGGATTATACAATAGAATGGAATAGCGTAGAATATAGCTTGTTGATTGAATAACCACGTCAGGAATGAGTTTCTCCAAATATGCATCTGGAAGATATTTCCCGAAATGAGCATTCTCTTGTATAAACCTACAATGAAGTCCTGATTGATTTTATTTTTATAAATAAAATCTATAATATAGGATTTATCGGGTTATTTAGTATTGTTGTTGTTGAGCAATCTCACAATCTAAAAATAGTGATCAATCCATGGTAAAACTTACCGTTGTATTGATCGGGATAGTGTATCCATTGATATTAGTTTCTTCGTTGTTTTTATGGAATACACCTAGGGGGGCCAAAGTTTTAAGTCTAATTAGCTCTTGTATGAAAGCACTGGTGTAAGGCATTTTATCTCTATGCTCCATTGAAGGAACACCTTCTTCACCTGTTAAAAAAAGTTAGGAATGTTTGAGATTTAATCACTAATCACTAAAACCAAGTTAAAACGAGAGATCAAAACTTGATAAATATAAAGATTCGAGCATGGGTCGGTCAGTCAGTCAGTCAGTAGTTTGATATTGAAAAAACTAAGTTGCGCGTAGCGTCATGTCGAAAACTAACTTCTCATTGTCAACTCATTATAGTATGTATTGGTGCACAAAGATAACTTCTGTATTTTGAGTGAAATCTAAGTTTTAACATACAGTATTTAGTATTTACTATTGTAGAACACTTAGTAATCGAAAAAAAAAGAGTTTTTAGTTCTCGTACACACACCGTGAGCTGCGCGCACTCATTTGTTTACTGCCAGTGCACCCGAATGAGTGCGCTTGGTAATGCTTTGAGAAAATATACTGAATGAAAAATGAATAAATGAAGAAGACAGAAGTAATTTTTTTTTCGGGGTCCCCAAAACAAACACCTATTTGAAAACTGCATGGCAATTTAACTTTTTGCTGTGTGCTTTAGAGTCCTTGTTATCCATGACATAAACTATCTAATACTAGAGAAATATAATATAATCAAGTGACTGTAACACTAAGTAACATTATTAACAATATCAAATTACCCAAGATTGCCAATACTTCTCCTGCGATTTTTTCTTGGTATTTTGGGTAGCAGACCAGAGCCAGCAAACCCCAAGTCAACGTTCCGCTGGTTGTAACTGATCCCGCATGGAAAATATCACGAACGTATCTAATGAGTTGAATTTTCTGCATGAAAAATAAAAATATGAACAATAACGTGTTTTTGCCATTTTAGCTGACTAGAATAAATCATATTAAACAAGCCTATGGGAGTTGGAGCAATATGATATTTTACGTTAAAAGCATCATCATCTTTTCCTCGTTTCTTCATTTCATTCAGAAATGCATCAATAAAGTCCCGGATGTCTGAATCGTCAAAGTTCGATTCGTGTTCTTCTACAAATTCACGTAGATATGCTAAAAATAGGTTAATATTTTTCCTTTGCTGTATTTACTTGTGGGATCAATAAATAGGTATAAGATAAATAACGAGAGAGCGATGCTCAAATTTATGGACACAAAATTGTAAGAATTTACATTCTTTCACAGTGGTCTAACGATAACCAGTGTTCACGATTTCGTCGGACCACATGATCGGTGATGCAAAGGTGGAACCACCACAAGGAGTGCAATTCCTAATTTTGATGACGTCAGCGCACACAAACAACGAATCTCATGGAGCCCACAAAAACTTTCGAAATAAATAAAAGTAATAGCTTTCTAGCAAACAATACATTTTTTAACCACTGAAAATTAAAAAACAATGTGTCCAGCAGTTAAAAATAAAAGCGATTTTTTTCATAACAACAAGAATTTAAAAAATCCAACATGTAAACCAACAACAACATAATCATTTTAAGGTGGGCCTCTTATAAAGAAATGCTAGATTTATATATGTCAAAATAGGTAATTTCAATTGTAGTAACAATGAATGACGATGCTTATTTCTGCTACTGAGTGGTAATTACATTCTGGATATTAATGTAAAAGTCCCATTTTTGCAAAAATTTCTTTTTTTTTTTGGAATTTATTGGTCACAGAATTTGTTTTGGATGAAAATAGACCAAAAACAAAAAAGGTTGAAAATCACTGATCTAGAGGCTTCTGATTACTAGAAGATTGAAATCGATTGGTTCTTTAATTGCAAAGAAAGACGATTTGCTCGACATCAACAACAACAATAAAAATTTTAAAATCTAATATTGTTTAACAAAGTAATTCACAATACACTTCGCGTCCAACAATAGATTTGAAATTATATCAATTATTAATGTAAATGCGTCATTTGTCAACGAGAACCGACTGGAAACTCTATTATATTTGTAATTGTTATTATAACTGCATAACGCAATTTCGGTAAATTAAATTCTAGTAGAAAACATATCTATCACGATACATTATTCAATGCGACGAAGTTTACGACGACCTTGAGCAAGGTCTTGTACAAGCTTTTAAAGAAATGGAAAGAACAATTATTTTGGGTTTACCGGGATCTTTTTAATTCAGTTTTTGCCGACCAGTTGTACCCACAGAATGTTGACATTGGGTTTTAACCAGCGATGTGCAACGAGATGTCCATCGGACAGGACACGTCCCTCAAGTTATTCAGTTTGGCCTTTCTCAACACTCAGAACTTTCCCCATCAAGCATAAAATAGTAATAGGACAGTTTATGTATAATACGGCGGTCACGTATATAAAAATACATATTTTTTTTCTCTTGCCACTGCGTGAAATGTTCCGCTGATTTGTCCATTGCATTTATTATTTTAAGAGTGTAAGACTACGCAATAGCCGTATCTTCTCTTACATTTTCCGTTAAATTTCAACATAGTTATGTACAACAATTTATTCACTATGTTCTACTTAATGAATTTTAAATGTTCAAATATATATTTGCGTTTGGTTGCGCGAGACTAACTCCCTATCCTCCCTCTATGCCCTTATGCCAATGGATCCGTATGTGTAAACAGCAATGATGCTGTAGCAGGAATAAAACCTCCAATTGAAGAGTACTGTTGCACACTAACACAAATTTATTTCTGTAACGTTTCGTCCGACCAATATCAGACTTTCTCAGACAAGCAGTTTACTAAAAACTGACGAATCGTTACAGAAATACATTAGTGTTAGTGTGCGGCAAGTATCAAACATATGTTTCAATATAAACTAGAGATATTAAACCCATGAATTTCATTAATATATAAACCTAAAAAATAAAAAAAAATCTTACCCATAAGACACTCTGCTTCCTCAGATGTAATTTTCACAACATTGCTGAACGGAGGAATAAAACGTAAAAAGGGAGCCAAGGAAACAGCAAATAACATATGTGAATGAGAAGTGTCTTCAGATCTTTCAAGAAAATAAAATAAAACAGCCAGTAAGTAAGATGGAATTTGTGAGTCAGTGCTTAGTTTTTTAGTGAGACTAATTCATTGGAGATCGGGATATATTTGATGTTTAATGATGATGCTGTTACGGTATGACTTGGAAATTAGGAATTTCAGATGAGCGTTCTCGGCTACCCCCCTGTTATTTGGTACTTACAAACGCTTGTTTAATCGACATTCGAAATAGGTTTGTTCACAGACAGCCTACGAAATGGAACACTTTTTTTTGTTATGACAACTTGGTTTATACAATATTGCCTCAATTTTCAATTAAATATATTCAGCTGACTTTTTTTTTATTAAAATTAGTACCAGTATTGGCCATGGACGATCACCATTAGGTATTGAAGGGGATGGGACAGAGAAATATGTAGCATAGACAAGACTAGAAATTAGTTACCTTGGTTTCTTACACATGTGGTCAGTGGTCGTGCTGTGAGGAAATTGTAATAAAAAAATATACAACTCTAACTGTAAGAAAAATATCAGGTGCTAAGATATAAACTTACTGTTTCATAAACGTTTCGATCATATGCTTGAATTTGCTTTCGTGGTATTCAAGCCTGGAACCTAACGCTATCCGACAAACCATATTGGATACAGCGAGATTCAATTTCATCTAAAGAAACAATATAGCAATGGTAAAAAAAACACAGAATCAAAGGCGTTGAATCGGCACCGGTACGGTAAAATTTTAGCGGTAGCAGAGAACCGAGTGTTCTAAAATGACAAAAGAGGATGTTCCTATATTATAAAAGCAAGCGTTGTGATGAATTGAATTAACATCAAAATTTTGAGTCAAATATGGGAAACCATGGGTCTCAGAAAAATTGTTATAATTAAACAACAATAATAAGAACAACAACAACAACAATATATTGGTCCAATTTGCGTCCAAACGTTTTCAAGGTTACAGGATACCGCTATAAAAAAATATGAAAAAGTGCGCGTTGGTAAAATGCAAATAGTGTTCTAATAATTTGTATCATAGATTTTAGGGTGTCGAAGTATTAAATATTATTACACGAATGCTCTCTCCGTTGCTTGATGTCAAACTCTCAATCAAGAATCTCAATTCTTCATTAACATTTGTTTCCATACGTTTCTTGCCCATGCCCATTCTGAAAAAAGTAAAAAAAAACTATTAAATTTGTGAATAACAGACAAATAAAACAAGTGTGTCATAATGACGCAAAACTGTAGATGATTTCACAATTATTCTTATGTGTAAGATGATATATGTATTTGACACTCGACCAGGTAGATTATCAGCCGGAGCTTCAATTTATCTTTTAACATTTCTAAATCGTTTTACCCATTTAGAGCTTATTGCTTATATGAAGAAAGGTGTTTTTGAAATATCATCCAGTTCTTATTTCATGAGCGTCTATTTAATGAAAACCTCGTCACTCAAGGTGTAATAATTTGCGTAGACGATGTCAATCGTGAAAGATCCTAGTCTTAATATAGTAAATAGATTCTTATTTAATAGCGTACTTTTGTGCAAAGTCTTCTTTGGAATAAATTGGTATAAAAACATCAAATTAAGATAATACATTTTTGCATATATTTTATAAAAACTAAATACTTGTGTTCGGCATAGAAAATTTGCTATAAATTATTACTCTTTCAATGTGGCATGGCCAAATTTGCTCAAATCTTTCCATGTTGATCCATAATCCATTGTCAAGAACCCGCGGCCTTTGGTTATCAGCTCGAAATAAAGATTGTATGGCCGCCCGGAAAACTTTTGTCCTTGTTTTACAAATGCCTGAGGAATACATGTAACTATTTGTAATATTATTTGTGTAAAGTGTGCGAGCGTGATGGGCTAGTGGTTAAATCAACGCCGAACCGGATGTATATCGTTCTTTTCTGTAACCTAGCAGTTGCTTGTGCAAAGTCAGGATCGAAGTGAACTACGTATAAATACGCCTCATGGGAAAAATTTAGATAAATTTACATTAATATGCATTTTGAGATGAATCGCCTAGTTGTTATTGACAGAAATCTCATATTGTCCTTATTTTCAAGATTCAGGATCAGAATTACCTAGAAAAAATTATTCCTTGAATAATACTACATTTAAGTATTTTTGACGAACCTCGCTAATGGTGTCATAATCATTTAGAATGACCCAATCTTCTTGTCCGAATTGAACAGAAACAACCGATCCGTATTTCTCTTTCAATTTCATAAAAGTTTCTGCGGGATTCTTCTCCATAAACGGAATGTAACCGACAAAAGGAAGACCTCGGGGACCAGGAGGAAAGTTTTGGGGTTTTCTTCGCAAAGAAAACCAGAATATTGAGGCAGCTAGGATAGCTAAAACATTTGTATAATCAAAAAGTTCAATCCACATCTTGTTTTATTTCTTTTCAGTAAAATATTTTTGTTTTATTGTAGATGAATAGAATTTGCAAAACATTAAAAGGTGTTTATAATAGTATATCTAAAAAAAAGAAAGAAGATATTCATTAGCGAAATAGTATATATTTCTCTAGGTATCTAAAATTTGATATCAGTGGCTTCTTTGCAAAGATAAAACCTGTTCTGGGACATTGCCGACTTTTATCACAATTATTGAGATAATATTCATATATTTACCTTTGTCTCTGTCACGCGGTCAAACTTATGAATCATAGAGAGTCTTTACTCAATATTGGATCTCCTATCCTAATAATACCCTTTCCAAAGTAGTTTCAAATTTTAAGATACATAGAAGATGAAGAATTCGATAAACTATTTTTTCAAATCCTAATGTCCAAAAACATTTTTAATACTATACATAAAAAATATTAGATCGGCACGGTGGGGAAATCTCTCAAGTTGAAATCAGTCCGGATGTTAAAAAAAATCAGGGACGTGATGAACAGCCCATAAAAGTTGGCGCAAACTCAAAATAAAATGCAAGTAAATAAAAGAAAAAACTAAAGTCATTGAGTATTCTAATGCTTAAGGCGGCATGTTGCCAATTTTACATTCACAAAACACATTGAACATGTAATTGTCTGAAGTAAGGAACTGTTCCTGTCAGGTTAAATATTAGTTGAGTTCAAAATGCTATATTTTCAATTTATCATAACCGCCCCATAAATAGTGTAAATTCATGCCAGCAAATAATGATACGTTACAGAATTACAAATCCTACTTCAATCATATAAACTTTTGCCAATATCTCATATCCATATAAACAGTCTGTCACGCGCGCTTCTTGGCATAAAGAGTATTGAATTCCAACTCCTGTCTTCGATTAATGATTTGAACAGGCTGCTAAATCGAAAATTTTATTTTCAACTTTATTTTCAAAAAAGGCAGTCTTATATAGGGTTGATATATACAAATTGTCACACCCATATTACAAGCCAACATATAGATCAGTTTAGATGAAAGTTGACCGTCACTGGTTTGCAATATGTATATATACGAGATTTTATTTTGATGGCTTTTGTATTAATATAGTGCAACCTACCAAAACGGAGTTAACACATGTACTTATACAGACAAACACACCAAAACAACGTATGTGTATAGAGTCAAGTTGTAAACTTATACTACTTAAAAAGGGTTATCTTGAAATCAAAAGTTAATTTGTTTATCTTCTTCTAACGAGAACAAGTTAAGCGGCCCATGAGTTACTACACTTTTCCCGCCCTCATAAAAAGATTGGAGGGGATTATCAGGATCCGGCACCACTCTCATGTTTTGCACAATTCCCACTTTCAAGATGAAAATCTGCATTCTGACAATGTGATCTCGAAGACAGCGACGAGGGCCAACAGAAAACGGGACCACGTGATTTAATTTCATGAATTTTCCGTCACGGACGAGAAATCTCTCAAATCGTAATTTATTTGGATTTTCAAAATACTGCGAGTCACGATTAGCTGACATAATTCGGGCAAACCTAAGCTGAAGTATATTTAAAGAACGTAAATTAACTTCATGCTATTTTTTTTATTTCAATTAAGCTATCTAGTTTGATCAATGTACAAACAATGTGCATGTACTTGGAGCATGACAATTCTAGTTTGAACATGCATTCAATTGTACTTTAAACATTCATTTACGACTAACTTGTATAAAACAGTATTCTGCGACTAGACACCCAATTTCTTTTTTTTGCGAGGATAAATTGTAACACAATTTGGAATATCCTGGAGTTATCCTAGCACAAACTCAGGACAAAAGTAAAGTAGTAATTAATAGCAAAACTATTTAGCGATGATTAAATGATTGTTGGATTAGAAGAAAAAATTTCGATGAAATGCAATTTAACATGTTTATTGATTATGTGCCAGCTAATGCCAAAAATGACTAGATACTTCCATTTCTACTATTCTTGTGAATAAATTGTAATACAATTTAAATAGGAGGTATACTGACACAAAATCAAAACAAAAGTAAAAAAGTTATATAAAGCTAACGTATTTCGCGATGATTGAATGAATCATAAATTTAAAAAAAAAAATTTTGATGATTATGTGTCAGCTTATTGCCAAAATGCCTAGACACTTCAAGTTCTATTATTCTTCTGAATAAATTCTAATACAATTTGAAAAGGAGGTATCATAAGTCTGACACAAACTCAAAACAAATGTGAAGAATATATTAATATCAAAACCCTTTTGCGATGATTAATTGAGTATTGTATTAAAAAAAAAACATTTTCCAATGAGATGCAATTTAACATGTTTATTAATGACGTGCCAGCTAACGCCAAAATGATAGGCACTTCCATTCCTATTATTCGTGTGAATAAATTGTAATACAATTTGAAATGGAGGTATCCTGAGTCTGACACAAACTCAAAACAAAAGTAAAGGCGATATTAATAGCAAAACTATTTCGCCATGATTAAATGAGAATTGAATTAAAAAAAAATAATTTCCGATGAGATGCAATTTAACATGTTTATTAATGATGTGCTAGATTATTGCCACATTGACTCGAAATATGAAATTAATTTCCATGATGAATCCATGGTGGATTTTTTAAATTAGATTGCCGTGGTTACATTTACATACAAAATTTATCCTACCTAATTTATCATTTTTTAATCGTTCATAATAACCCAAAGTTCACGCCAAATGGAACAGACAATACAGATACATATTTGTTTTCATTTTCTGCAAATGTACCGCTGGATTTCACCCCATAAACGGAACCTATCCAACGGTAAGGAGACCATGAGGACCCGATGAAAAACTATTGCGTCTTTTCAGAATGTAGCAGAAAAATTAGAGAGTTAAAATCCTAATGAAAATACTTGCAAAAATGAGGCCTAAAACCCAGAACATGCTTTATTTGTCATTCTGAAAAGCAATTCAATCACATTCTCAAGCGAAAAAACAAAATTAATAAAACATTGAGGGTCAGAAAGAATAGATATATTCTTGGATCGAATGGGAAGGTTTCGGGTCTTTTTGTAATAAATAATACCAAAATAAAAATTTTCTATAATCCCATCAATATAAGTTGCATAATCGCTGCTGTAAACCCATAACATAATTTAGTCTTCTGTCTTTCAGGAAATGTTCCAGCATCTTATACATATATATCACCTGGAAGGCTATTATGCAAAATAATATAAGTTTTGAAATTAACGGAAATGAAGAAATCAATATTCTATATGTATATTTTACGCATAGTGATTCGTAGATTTTTAATTCAGCTGATGAATTTCAAAACTTCTTGGGCAATGGCCAAGTGGGTAGAGCAGTTGTTATCAACCATTTTGGTAAAGTACCCCAATGACACTTAATAGTGTATAACGATTCAACCTCCGACTCAACTATATTACCAGTAATGGAGAAGTCAATGCAAAACGGATAAATCCCGTAACTTTAAGAAAAACTTATAATGCATTATTGTGGCTTTGCATGTACAGTCATAAATTTTAAATTTTGGATTTAGTATGGGAAAACTGAGTCCGATAAATGTGTACCAATTCACGAACTCAGGTGCAAAGATAAAGTTCAAGGGAGTATCTCAGCATAGTGATTTCATACGATAGGTAAGCAGTTACAATTCTCTTGGAAGACATCAGGCGCCAACGCCAGGCGTTGGACATTTTAACTAGCTACATATATAGTTTGCGATATCACTCCTCGACAAATAAAACGGCGCTATTAGTTTGGTAGTCGATCCCATTTAACAACTGTTCATTAATATAAATTCACTTCAGTTTTTAACTCAAAACATCAAAAGCATTGTATCATCAAACTTATAATATCTTGAAGTCGCTCAACAGGTATTTTTGTTTTGCAGTAATACTGGAGGTATAAACTAATTCCTGACCAGCTCGGAAATCGAATTCTCCAAATACTCATCAAATAATGAAAATGGATTCTACGATAATATTCTTTTCATTTCATCAATTACATAGTAATCACAATCACATTGAAGTCGCTATACGTCTTTTTCGGTGTGCAGTACTACTGGAGCTATAAACTATTTACTGATAAGCTCTGAAATCGAATTCTCCAAATACTCATCAAATATCAGAAATGGATTGTACCATAATATTATTTTCATTTCATCAATCACATTGTAATATTCAAACAACTGTCACGCGCAATTATGAAACGGAAGTATTGACAGAATAAACGGAAATATTGACAGAGTATTATATTGAATATTACAGCATGTATGATGCCAAGTTCACACGAACAAAATCCATCAATCAAGGGAATGTTTGAAGGAGCGGCTCCTTTCTTATACGAAAATAATTTTTTCAGAAATTTCTTCTGCTACCCTATCATAAGTCATAATGACTTGAAAGTTAGGAATCTAAACCGAATACAGTATTCATATAATGATTTTCAATATTCAGAACGTCAAAACAATATTTCGTACCGCTATGTAATGGGGCAAATAACCAATTTTACCTAAAGTGTGGGTCTTCATTGCTGGGGAGTTTTTCACAGATTACAAATTTGAAAATTGTTATATCAACTCGAATTTCAAATATACTCGTAATAATACACAAAAAAAAGTTCATTTGAAACAAATCCAGAGCAAAGAAAAACTTTTAATTGTCTTAACAGACTTTCAAGCATCTTGGATCATTGAAACTTTTCCCATACACAAACAGAAATATAATTGTTGTAAAATATTTTTTTTTTTGTAGCGGTAATCAGGAAAATTACGAGTTCTTTTTTTTTCGAGTCACCCTATGCTTGAAGGACATAATATGAATCAATGAGGCAAAATAAACGTAATTTAAAAATGAAGGGTATAAATTTAAGAATCATGAAATAATGTGTAAATCAATTTCACAGAGTTTAACTATAATGTGATGGAAGCAAGGTGAACTAAACATTTGTGATGTTAATGCAACGTTCAAAACGTTCAACGAGC